CCCGCGTCCTCCCTCCCGGCTGCTTGCCCTCTGCCGACTCCGTCTTGTCCGGCGGCGAGAGGTGTCGGCCGCGACACGAGAAGCGGGGTGGGAGGTTGGTTTGTTGATAGAGAGATGAAGCTGTAAATACAGAGCCGAGGGGCCTGGGTGTTCCGTGTTGGGCTGCTGCTGCTGCGGCATCAGAGTGGCAAGGAGTGGGTTTGGGGAATGGGATCTCGGGCTGTTACGTGACTTCCTGACGAAGGGCAGCGGAGGGCCGGCTCCATTCTCGGCTCTTTGGTGACAGAACCCGAGGGAACGGCTGGACCTGTGTCAGGGGAGCTTTAGGTTGGACAGTAGGAAAAGGCTCTTTGCCCATAGGGTGGTTGAGCACTGGGACAAGCTCCACAGGGAAGGGGTCACGGCTCTATGCCTGCCAGAGTTCAACAAGTTTTGACAGTGCTCTCAGGCACATGGAGTGATTCTTGGGGTGTCTTGTGCAGAGCCAGGAGTTGGACTTCGATGATCCTTGTGGGTTCCCTTCCAGCTTAGGATATTCCATGATTCCGTGGTACCACTGAAGGACAACAGGTGGATTGTGCCCTATAGAGGGGTTCTCTCCCATGATCTGTCTGTGTCTTGGCTTTTTAGACTGAAGTGGCTGTATAAGTGTTTTATTGTTTGATGTTAGTTATGGTTCTTGTTAGTAATCTGCTTCTGATCATTAACTATATCCAGGGAGTTGGACTGAGAAGTCATAAGAATTTTAAGTTCTGTTAAGTGGGTTTATGTCAGGTATTACAAACTACATGTTCAGCCTGACTTATGTCCATTTCTGAAATGTCCTCTACTAACTGTCTCAAAAGAGAAAATATTACTTTGGACAGTAGTACATGAAGTATCCTAGAATTTACCAAAGTCAGTTCTTTAACTGAAAGTGTTCCTCAATTTATCTAATCCCCAAGATGTCATTGCTGTTACAAGTATAAACGTAAAATGATTTTCAAAGTGTTGCTGCTTTGGGAAGAGATAGGGAGAAGGTTCCTCATTTGGAATGTGTTTTGCTGCCTGTACTATCAGCTTATATGACTTGCAGCTGCTCCTATGTGGGAATTGCATGCACAGAGGATAACATGTCCCCACCAGCCATCTCCTGTGGGCTTGACAGCAGGTATTTATCTCCTTTTCTATTCAAGGGCTGCTTCAGGTAAAAAGGGTATGACTGGCCTCTGTGGCAGCATTTGCTGTGTGAGAAGCACTTCGATCAGGGAGTGAAAAAAAAACATTTGATAATTTGGTTAGGTGGATATCAGGTGGCTGACACATGGCAAAAACTGAGTAGGCAAATTCATGTAAGAAATGTAAGAAGTTAAAGATTTGTCTGATGTGACTGTCTGCAGGTCTGCTTCAGAGCCTATGGCAGCTGGTGAGAAAAGATTTGATCAAACCTTTTTAAAAGGTTCTGTATAATTCTCCTGCTGTAGATGATCCTTTCTGCAGGTTAGCTGACCTAGCTCTGTAGGTGTCACTAAGAAACTGAAGTTTGTTTTTGCAAGACAGGGAATTCTGTGTCCCCTAATCTCAGATAAGAGCCCTCAGTTTGTATCTTGGCACACTTCTGGATCTGTAGGGAGTTCTGTCTGGTCTTGAAGATATGGCCCCAACAAATTCAATGAAAAAAGCAGGAAGATCACTGATTTTTAGGATGTAAAACTGCTAGTTGAATCCAACAAATTCCTTTCAGTCAGTCAGTCTTGCAGATTAGAAGGATGATCCAACAGAGTTCTTTATGATGTTGATACGTTGTGAACCCAGATAGTTGAAGGTGAAATTATTTTGAAAGTTGAATGGTGAAGCAAATTCCTCATCAATCATCAATATTTCAGTATTAGGAATGGAATAAAATCACTGAAAGAACTGAGGCCTGGGCCCAAAACACAATTGAAATCTCCCTGGACAGTCAAGTGTCATTACAATAGACCAAAAAGATTTTACCTTGATATGCTGATAGGTAACTACCTAGTTCCACCAGTTTAGGTAAAGAATCAAACTTGGGGCCAGGGATTCTTAATTACTCTGATATACCTCTAGTAGATTCTTTGACTTGAAACAAATTATTTGTGCAGTATGGCAATAACAACAACAAAAGAACTGCTGAAATTACAGGACTTTTTCTTAAGTCTTGAGTCATGATACCTCTAAAAAACATATGTCCCTGTCACTATACAAAAATTCCAGTAAGAGTAAAAAGTTACTATTCAGTTAAAAAATCCGTATGATCTGTTGTGATTCTACCTTCCTAAATTAGGTTCAGTCTTGAAGGTACCAGTATAAATGTGTTAAGTCCAACATATTTTATCCATATTAAGTCAAAAATGTATCACTTCAAACTGTCAGGAAAATTATGGTTTAACCAGGTGTTAGCAGGCCAGATTGGTGTGTCTATTTATGTCTGTCCTCCCACTTTTGTCTGTTAA